ACTGGCGACAGATTTCAAAGGGTTTTACGTGTCAAATAGATGAGTTTGTGCTTTATCTTAGGTGCTATTGGGAACCACTGAAATTTCTTGAGTGGTATGATTTGACCTATAACTATATACTCTTCATTCATGATCTCACTTCCCTAAAAAGTTGTTCCTAGAAGAAAAAGATTAAAATGAAGAATACTCATAATAGATTCTTGCATATTTGTCAGTGGGTTTTAAATGGCATGTAAAGGAGGAAAAAGTAGAAGAAGATGAGATAAACATAGATGGAAGAATGAATGGATGAATAAATGAAAAAGAATTATTAAATACTTATGTGCTAGGCACTTTATGTGTTAGGGATAAAAGTAGAAAATAAAACCTCTGCCCTCAATGAGCTTACCTTCTAACAAGAGAAGACAATACAAATAAAGGAGTTACAGCCAAGGAATGAGTGTTCTAGACTGAGAAGTAACAGGAATGAAGGCAGTTGATTGACATATACTTCCAACAATGGTAGCATTGATTTTGATGACTGTTCCTAGAGCTAAAAGTTGAAAAGGTTGGGAAAAGGTACCCGAGTAGCTATGGGTTAGATTTAGTGACTGAAGAGCACTACAGAATGTACATCTGGGACTGGCTAACAGAAAACTTTTTACCAACAAGCCTGGTTGGAAAAGAGGACTAAGTTTTAGAATATTAATGAAAACAGCAAGAAATTTTGAAGTAGGAGGAAATTGAGAGAGTTCAAGCCTGATGCCCAGATCATCTCAATAAAGTAGAAAATCACCTACAGAACAATAGGGTGAGAGGATTGTAAGCTTGAGGTGAGAATGCTTGGAATAGCCACTTCTGGGGAATGTGATAGGGAGTTTATTTAGAGATGAGTGAAATGATTATGGAACAACAATAAGGACCTAGATGTGGCAATAGGCTGGATTTACTTTGGACCCATTTATGTTTCTCTAATAACAGAAGCTCAGATCTAAGCAAAAAAATGTAGGACCCATCATTGACTTTGGGCTGGGAATTAGCAAGGAGGTTATGGGCAAGTTTTTAAGAAATTCTCTGGAACTACTGAGATCAGCATTGGAGGGACTGACCCTAGTGTCCAGGCTGTGAGAAAGAACAAAGATAGAACAGAAGTTATTATACTAGACAACAGGGGTAACAGAAAATTAGACCCCAATGAATGGAGAAAAAGAGATTCTATAGGAGTTTAAGTGATAGGGTTTAGGTTAAGGGTGGTAGCCTGTGATCAGCTTAACTGATCAATAAATTATGTAAAATTATAAAGTTGACAGCATTTATCTAAGGCTTCCTTATATTCCATATCTCCCTCCCTGTGTGTCTCCCAGTAGTTAAGTCTCTTCATTTTGTCCCCTTTTCCTCAGGACTCTCTTATCCTTACCTTTTTTGCCCTCTCTGGTCACTTATTTGTAAACCTTTCACGTCTAATGTCCCTTTGGCCCAGATACCTAAGTAGTTTGAAAGCATCTGATAACAGTGTTCCAGAGCATAAGTCACTTGTAACTTATAACAGATTATTCCCTTCCCTGTTAAGGTCATTCAGAGTCATGTTGATATTATCACTATCCTAAGGAATGAATCTCTAATGGTGTAGTTTTAGCAATATATGACAGACCTTTGAGAGACAATAATCATTATATGAAAGTATGTTGCATAGTTGATAGACAGCTGGCCTTGGAGTCAGAAAGATCAGAGTCCTCTCTCTAACACATACCCTGGACAAGCTACTTAACCTCTTAGAGCTCTAGGCAATTCTTTAAGATGCAAGTTGCAGAAAAAATATTGACGTGCATTGGTAGTGAGAATTTTGTCACCTGAGAGTTCCCTATACCAACAAATTCCTCATATTTTTATAGCATTTTACATATTTTCTCATTTGATCCATGTATCAACATTATGAGAGGCAGCATAGTGTTAGGCAGCTAGGTGGCTCAGTGGATTGATTGTTGGGCTTGGAGTCAGGAAGATTCTTCTTCATGAGTTCAAATCTGTCCTTAGATACTAGCTGTGTGATCCTGGGCAATTCACTTAGTCCCGTTTCCCTCAGTTTCCTCATCTTTAAAATGAGCTGGAGAAGGAAATGGCAAACCACTCCAGTAGCCTTGCCAAGAAAACCCCAAATGGGGTCACAAAGAGTCAGACATGACTGAAAACAACTAAACAACAATACACTGGAAGAGGAATCCTAATGCAGATCTTTCTGCTCTGAGACTAGCCGTGTTCCTTTTGGGTATGCTCTGAAACCATATATGTAACATTAATACTATATCATATATGGTCAGCTTTATGGTACTTCATTTTTTAGAAATGACACCTTGAAGTTTATTCAAGTATGTTATTGATAACCTGTATGGAATAGTATCAATCAATCAATCAATAAACATTAATTACCTACTATGTGCTAAGCACTGGGAATACAAAAAGAGGCAAAAAGACAGTCCCTGACCTCAAGGATTTTACAGTCTAAGGGGGGAGACAACATGCAAGCATATATGTAAAGTGAGCTATGTACAGGATAAAAAATAAATTGACAGAGGGAAGGCACTGGAGGGTTTAAGAAAGGTTTCATGTTGAAGATGGTATTTTAGGTGGAATTTAAAGGAGCCCAGGGAGGTGAGTAGTTGGGGCAGAGGATGGAGAATGTTCCAGGCATGGGGAGAGAGAATGCCTGGAGCCAAGAGACTGAGCTTCTTGTTCATGGAACATCCAGGAGGCAAGTGTGACTGGACCAAAAGCATGAGGAAGGGAGTAAAGTTTAAGAAGATTGGAAAGATAGGAGGGGGCTAGGTTATGAAGAGTTTCGAAGGCCAAGCAGAACATTTTATATTTGCTCTTGGAAGTGATGGGAAGACACTGGAGTTTATTGAGTAGGAAGGTAATATAGTTGGTCTTGGAGTCATGAGGCTTTGTATTAGCTGTATGACCTTTGACAAGTAACTTGACCTCCTCCTAGGATGTCAGCTTCCATGTTTCCCAGTAGTTAGAGTAGTAGAACCTGGAGTCATGAAGACTTGAGTTCAAATATGGTCTTAGACACTTATTAGCTGTTAAGCCTGGGCAAATTGCTTAACCTCTATATGTCTCAGTTTCCTCAGCTATAAGATGGGAATTATAATACCACATATCTCTCTCAGGATTATTGTGAGCATGAAATGAGAGAATATTTGTAAAAAGTGCTTGGCACAGTACCCGCCATATAGTAGGCGCTATATAGTTATTCCCTTTTCTCTCGTTCATCTGAAAAACTAGGCAGATTGGATTTTTCCCATTGTAGTTTTGCTAAGGTTACATGGAATTCTTGGGGCTCAGAATACACACACACACATAGATATATCTATATATACATATATAAATATGTATATATATTTTTATAGTTATGAAACATAGGAGTAACTGAACTTAATATCTAGATAGCAAGAATAATTAAATAAGAGGAAATAACACTATGGGTTTTTCCTCTCCTTGACTTGGCTTCACTCCCTGTGAGCCTTTTGACCCTGTTCCTATGCTGGCCCATCCCACTTTGCTCCCATAAATGAGTTAGCCCAGGTGCCAAAATTGCTGCTTGTGGTTCTATCCTTACTTAGCTTAACATTCTCAAACTACTGTTAAACAATTTAGCTTAAAAGCATTCATAAAATAAATTTCATTTAATTTTATTAAAATGCCATCTTCCCCAAACTCTTTGATATATTTTCCTCAGCAGTGGGGTTAGTTGGGAACCATGGCCCAATTCTTTGCTGGCTCAATGCCTCTCTGAAAGCTGGTATGAGACACAGTACCTCTGAAGCTGTGAAAACCTTATACTTTGTTTAGCTCCTTGGGACTTTTGAGTAACATGACAACTAGGCCTTTGATGACAGATTATTTCCTGTTTCTCTTTCTTCCTTGAAAGATAGTGTCCCCAAGCTTTCTACCATATGACAAATGGTCAAATTTGCTATAACAAAACTGAATTCAGGAAACTCTATCTTCTATGTCTCCGGGTCTTGTTGAATTGTGCTGGGAGAATGAGAATAATGATGAAATAAGGAAAGGGGTGGATTTAAGGTCAAAGGTTTTGCTTTTGAGTTTTTATAACATGTTATATTTATAAAGTTCTTTACAGTTTGCAAAGTACTTCAATCACATCAATCCTATAAATGTATATAATGTAAGTACACTATCCCTCCTTTGTAAATAAGGAAACAGACTCCATGTGGTGAAATAACTTGCCCACGGTCTTAGTACTAGTAAGTATCAGGCCCTTTACTTGAACTCAGGTCTTCTCCAAGCCCAGGACTTTGCCTGCTACATCACAGATTTGTAAAATTGGAAGGGAACTGGAGACTATTTAGTCCAACCCCCCTTATTCTGCAGATAAGAAGGTTGAGGCCCAGAAAGGGAAAGTGTCTTGTCTAAATTCAAAAGGCACCTTTCTCATCTAAAGATAAAATGCTGCTGCTGATTATGTTACTAAATATGTTCAAATGAAGATACAATACACTTTTAAAATTCATATCTATCTGTAAGTACTGCATGCACGGGTGCACGTTAATGTCAGCTGAGATTGCATGAGACATCACGTTCGTTTGTGGTATAAACAACAAATGTATGATACATGCCTGATAATTCTTTCAAAGAAAGACTATTTGCTGAATAGTGTTCTTATTAGGGTTGCTGCTAATGAATAGTTTAATCAGTAGTTATATGGAAATTCAATGTTTCTGAGCTTTGAAACTGAATGGCATATAATTGGATACAGCGGATTTATCTCACAGCTGTATTTTGTGTGTGTGTGTGTGTGTGTGTGTCTCCTGGTTCTAATAATGCATTAACGTGATGGCTTAATTTTTCTATCTGAAACAAGCTGTTCTAGCATAATAACTGCCCCCCCCTCCATTTGATAACTCATCTTTTAACTTTGATAGAACTAATATGGCTTTATCTACTTTTCTTCTTTCCTGTGTTCATCTCCACTCTTGCTTTCTGGTTACTCATTCTAGCAATACAAGATCAAGTCCAACTACAAGGCCTTTGCAGCAATCCCTACAAACACAATACTTTTGGAACAGAAGGTTAGTGTTGGTTTATAAGCAAAGTCGTGAATTGCACTTTACAATGTATATTCTGTTTTCCACAGTCCTCATTTTCTCTCATTTCTGTTGGTAATATTTCAGACTTGAAATCTTGTCTTCACTAATAAATCAGTAAGCATTTATTGTGTACCTACATATGCCAGGCACTGTGCTAATCAAAGAAAGGAAAAACAGTTTCTACTCTCAAGGAACTCACAGTCTAATAAAGGTGGCCGTCACAATTATATTTTGAATCTTAATGAAAGCATTTTGGTGAAAGGACTAGGGTAGCAGTGCTCTAAATGTGGTCTGGGGACCTCTGAAGGGGTCCTGGGGACCCTGTAAATGGGTCTGTGAGATGAAAGCTATTTTCCTGAGGATGCTACGATATTTAATTTAAAATATGGCAGATATTGATAAGGGCAGCTGGTAGATATTGATAAGGTGCAGTGGATAGAGTGTTGGCCCTAGAGTCAGGGAAGACTCATCTTCCTGGGTTCTGATCTGGTCTCCAGCACTTACTGGCTGTGTGACTCTGGGCAAGTCACTTAACCCTGTTTGCCTCTGTTTCTTCATCTGTAAAATGAACTGGTGAAGAAAATGACAAACCATTCCAGTATCTTTGCTAAGAAAACCCCAAATGAAGTCATAAAAAGTTGAACACAACTGAAACAACTGAACAACAGCAACTATTGATGGATATAACCCATATAAACAAAAACTCTTTGGGGTTATTAATTTTTAAGAGTTTAAAGGAGTCCCGAAACCAAACTGGACTTGGGAAATGGTAGTAGAAGCATTTTGTTGAACGGACCCAGGTACCTTTCTATTTCATTTTAAGTGACTGAGTATGGATCTTGAGCCGAAACAGCATAAGGATATTAGGGCAAGATCTGGTTTGGCTCTCATTTTTGGGAACATTCCATGGGTTATTCTATTTTAGGCCTTTACTTAGAGGTTTTTGGACAGTGTCAAGAGTTTTTATATTTTATTGTTGCCCAAGCAGTCCATCACAACACAGATGCATCTTGAAGGAGTCCTTGGCATAATGCTCTTTGATGTACTCATTTTCTTTTCCAAACTTTTGACCAAGAGAGTGGTGGTAACCAAAAGAGGAGGAAGGTTGGTATATGAATGTATGCACATATATCCTTTAGATACCTGGGATAGGGGTTTGTATGGCCACGATGACTGTAACTGATGATTAGAAAGACATGATTTGTTGGAGGTCAATATCCTTCTTTTGGATCTTGGCCAACTTCCCAAGTCACTCAAAGGCTAGAAAAGTTTGAGAATCTTCAAGAACTCAGGTAGCCGTCTAAGCCTGCCCTAAACTGAATTTACTGTTTTAACATAGCCAAATAACCCTCGATATGGGAGGTTAGGATGCCATTTAGCTCAGCCTTGCATGCAGTTAACCAGCTGTTTTCACCAGGTTCTAGTACCATTTTGGGAGCCCATTTATTGTAAATAAAATAGTGTGAAATTTGACTTGTGGGGTTCTGTATCTTATTTAATGAACACCATGTAGATGTAGAATGTAGATGAAATCCTGACATTTACATTTGAACTGAAGACAAATCAATTACCTTAGTGGAAATGTCAATTTCACATTTAATAAAACTTTATGATGATTTATTTGGGTAATACAGTCTCCAAAGACATGGAGTCAACTATTTTTTTTCCAGGTAATTACAATGTTTCAAATATTGCTATTCAGATTTTCCACCAGGTGTTACTTTAATTACTGCTCTATAAATCTCTGCTCATGCCTTCATGGTGATTTGGCCCCACATCACTTTTTATGTGTGAAACATAAATGTATATAAATTGGAAAGAACCCCTTACAGCACACACCTCACACAGTTGCTTCCTGATGTGTGTGACCCACAAGTTGTTCCTTGTTTTAGCCCTGAGCTACCTGGGCTCCAGGGATTCTGGCCAAGAATACTTTTGTCCCAAGGTGCTCTTCCAATATTGCTGTTTCCTACCATATAGTCCCAATTCATTGGTGAAGGAATAAAGAGCTTAGTGAACAGCACCAGAGCAACCTAACCCTTTAGGAAGGGAAGATAAAATAAGGGAAGGGGAAGCAAAGGGAAGGAAGCTGTCAGGCAGTGCATTAAGTGCTTTATGAATACCATCTTATTTAATTCAGTATTGAGGGGACTTTGAGAAGGGGTGCAAATCTTGTTTTTGTGGGGAAATGGGAACTGTCAGCTTGCTTAATAACATATCAGTACAAATAGGGAAGGGCCACAGCAGAGGGAAATAGTGGTGATATTCCCTCTCTACTTCCTCTCAAACCAATTGGGTTAAGGCTGGTGGTGAGCTTTCATGAAGCCCATTTACCCTTGCCTATTTTGGCAAATCTAGAAGCTGTCATTCCCCTCACTTCCTAGACCAATAAGATAGCATGGGGTTTAGAAGTGTTATAGTTTCTTCCCCTTTGTTTAGATAATAGAATAGATTATTTACAAGCCTTTCCATTGAAATACATTGCAATACTACACTAATTGTCTCCCTATATCTTTCAAGACTCTAGTCACATAGACTTGACCAAGACTGAAAAAGTATACTGGATTTGAATTCAAATTGCCTGTGTTTAAATCCCATCTCTGCTACTCACTAGCTGTTTGACCTGGGGCAAGTTATGACTTCTCTAGACCTCAGTAGTTCATCTTTAAAAATAAAAGTCTGGAGTAGCTGAGGTTCCTTCCAGTTCTATAGCTACAATCTTTTAAGGACTGGTCCTTTGTTTTAGTAAATATTTATCAAGTACCTTCCTATTCACAAGGCACTGGAAGATACAAAGATGACAAAGATATGGTTCCTGTTTTCAAGGCTCTTATAATCTGGAAAAGAGGATAAAACATATATAAAAGCAAGTATAATGAAAGAATCATCTAAATGCCACCAGAAAGATATAAATTTTATCATGAGGTGTTAAATGAGGAAAATATCACTTCAGTCTGTAAGGATCAGGAGAGATTTCCACTAAGAAATGGCACTTGAGCTGGACCTTGAAGGATGGATAAATACAATTTTGACAATAAAAGATGTGATAAGTGGGTGTAGGAGGTATTCTAGGTAGAAGAAACAGCAGGAGAAAAGGCATATAAGCAGGAAAATGCATTTTCTTTTCTAATTTGTCAGTTGACAAAGATTGTGCTACATTAGATGATAAAGACTAGAATGAATAAGAAACCACTAGTTTAATTTATAGTTCCATTACTGACTCATTTCATGACATTATACAATTCTTGTGGTGATATACAAAATCTAATTTTTGTTCGATTTCTATTTCATACACTTGAGTGCTGCTTCTTTTTGTATAAGCTCTTGAGCAAAATATGCTACATGCAGAAGATTTTATATTTTTGGTTGAGTAAAATGTGAATATTTTAATATTTAACATTTAATATGGTAACATGGATAGAGGGTGAGTTTTGGAGGCAGGAACACCTGTTTTCAAGTCCTGCATCATCTTAACCATAGGTCCATGGAGGTCACTTCTCATTTAAATTACTGAAGAGTTGAGAATCTGAATTGGTGGTGGGAATTTCTACTTTGGGAGTTTATTACACCTTTGGAATCATTTCTCTAGACCAAAAAAACTCTCCAAAACATGAATAGATTAATTTAAAACATTATGCTTTTTAAAAATTTTGATTGGGAGGTTTTAAAGGGAATTCTTAGAAATGTAGAGACCTTAGATATAATTTAGCCCCTTGTTTTACCAATGAACAAACTGAGATACCTGTAAGTATTGAATATTTTTTAGCTAGAAGTTACCTTATCACTCATCTTGTATATTCTGCTCTTTTTTTCATACAGAGGAGTGAAGAGCCAAAGTGACTTCCTCAGTGTCATACTGTTAATTAGGAATATGGCTAATAAACTTGATGCCCAAATCCAGTGTTTTTTTTTTCCTTCTATTTTTCTTTTTCACTCTACCTTTCAAATGAGCACTGAGAGAAATTTATCCCTTGACCAAGATATATTGTTTTGGAGCTCCAATCCGTAAATTAGTCAAATGTCATAAAACTTCAATTATTTTTTTTTCCTTTCTATGCTTCTTTATATCAGTCCAGATTCTAACAGTTTTGCAGGTAAATGCTTGAAAACGTTGATTCAGATTTCTGATTTCATGACCATAGGGCAGGAATTGTTAATCTTTTTTTTTTTGTTTCACAGACATCTTTGATGGTCTGATAAAAACTATGGACCCTTATTAGAATACTGCTCTCAAATGCACAAAACAAAATATGTAGGATTACAAAGGAAACCAATTATATTGAAATATTTATTAAAATATGAAAAAAATTTGCCTACCCCAGGTTAAGAACCATTGCCAGAGGAGAATCTTAGTAGGTAAACTCACTCCACTAATACAGTTTGACAATTCCTCTTTAACTTCCAGTCTTAGAGAGTTGACTGAAACTCAGAGAAACTAAGTGACTTGTCACACAGGTAGCACATGTGAGGGGAAGATAGTCCTAAATTCAAGGCTACGTTCAAATTCAAGACCGTTCTACCTTCCATCTACTATATCATATTACTATTCAACAAGTAATTAAATGTTTAAAAAACAGAAAACTTACTCTTATAGTTTTTGAGTTTATGTCCATCACCAGTCATATTTCTTGAATGATATTTTGCTGTTCTCTTCAATAATGCTATTTTTCCTAAATTTATCCATGTAATTATGCTTGCCCATCTGTTTATACAGTAGGGCTCATCCTGTTCTACTGAAGTCAAAGGCAGTTATTTTTGAATGAAGTAGGAAAATCAGGACTGTAGTTCTCACGTGCACATCTATTTTAGGAAGAGTCAACACTTTGGGAAGTACTTAAATTGTTAAAGTCTAAGAATGAAAGACATTCTTTGCAGCCCTGTCATAAGGCTATAGTTGGTTTGCCTGCTTTGAAGCTACCATATGGGTGAAATCAACTCATAATGAAATCCTTTTGATAATTTGCTAGTTAGGCTAATCAGTA